AGATAACTAAAGAAAAGGTGACCAGAAAAAGAAAACAAGACAGATAACTAAAGAAAAGGTGACCAGTAACAAGATATGAGGCCAAGATAAGAGCCAGCTCCTTAGTGAGCCAGGTTTAATTTCCAGCATGCACATGACAGCACAAAACCATCTGTAACTCCAGTTCCAAGGGACCTCATGTCCTCTTCTGGCCTCCGTGGACACATGTGGTACACAAACATACATGCAGGCAAAATACTCAAACACATAAAAATAAAACAATTTCAAAAAAGAAGTGGCACCATATCTGTGCTAAACATGACCTTGGAAGCCAGTTCCTATCCTCAGTCCTCCCTACCCAGGGCCATCACCTGCTCAGAATTGGCAGAACTCAGAGGAGGCATCATGACTCAAACCACAGAGAGCAGACCCAGCCCTGCGACTGTCAGCAGCTGCATGGTCCCAGCTCAGTTTTGTGCTCCTTTGGGAACTTGTTTGCAGCAAGAATGTATCAAAGTTTGATACCTTGGGCCTGAAAGGCCTTTTTTTGTTTTGTTTTGTTTTGTTTTTTGTTTTTTTGAGACAGGGTTTCTCTGTGTAGCCTTGGCTGTCCTGGAACTCACACGGTAGACCAGGCTGGCCTTGAACTCAGAAATCCGCCTGCCTCTGCCTCCCAAGTGCAGTGATTAAAGGTGTGCGCCACCACCACCCGGCTCTGAAAGGCCTTTAAATACTGGAAGCAGAGTTTGGTGAAAGCTGAGAAGAAAACTGAAAGAACATTAAAGTGAACAGCAGAAGCCTCAACTCATGAGGTGTCAGAGGGAAGCAACAACTCTATCCCAGGAAACCCAGGAACTGGCTTTCTGTCCTGCAGAGTGGCAGAGCCAGGATTTGAACCTAGATCCTGTGAGACCCATGGAGTCCACTGAAGGAGGCTGCATCCAGGTGCTTAACGAAGGACTCCGAACTCCTCAGTTCTGTGATCTTTGTTCCTGGTGCCTACAAACAGACTGGGAAAGGCCAAAGCCCAGGAGCAGACACTCTCACTCTTATCCTAGCCTAAGCAGAGAGAGCTTCTAGTGTGAGGGTGCATAACCAGCAATCTAGATACAAAGAGAAGTCAGTGAGGGACAGATATTAGCAAGGAGCCCTGAGGCCAAGCTCTGGGCCTGGGCCTGCTCAGCTCTGAGCCTTAGCACAATCATCTGTTAAGTAACAAATAGCCAAGCCAGGTTGATGGATTGTGTGAATTCATAGAGGCTAGGTAAAGCAGAGAGGATGGGGGAGCCTAGAGCCAAGATATATCTTTCAAAAATAGATACGTCTTTGCCCTCTTACCAACGCATTTTCTCCAATGAAGCCCTATCCCCCACAGCTGGATATCTCCCAATAGTTTTTGAACCCACTGATGAATTAAAACATTGATCAGGTCAGGGCCCTCATGATCTGCTCCTCTTAGGAAACATCCTTGCAAACATACTCAGAGAAGTATTGTCCTGATCTGCTAAATATCTACCCCCAACCAAACTGACAGTGAAGATTACCTGTCACTGAGGACTAGAGAGGACTCCACCATTAAGAAAACTGATTTGCTCTTGCATAGGATCTGGATTTGGTTCCCAGCATCCATAGAGCGGTTCACAGCCATCTGCGACTCTAGTTCCAGAGGCTCTGACCTCTGTGGACACTGCACACACATGGCTCACATGCATACAAGCAGGCAGAACACCCTACACATAAAATAGATTTCTGAAAAGATTAGCCATTACATACTTTAAGAGCCAATTCTTTGACATAAGTTCCTCTCAATCCCCCATCTATGTAAATCTATCTATGTAATAGATAAATGATATTTACCCACCAAATATCTTTGTGACTGCATCTCATTGGTTCTGTGTCGTGGAGAACTCTGAATAACACATCTTATAACAAGAGGTTTTGTAACTCAAAACTGTTCTGTAAACAAAAGCCTAAGCCAGCTGGCCACAATGATTTCTTCCCAAGCACTTAAAGCAGAAGCACTGATGGCTTGTCAAACACTTCAGGAAACAGAAGAGACCAGTTCTTCAAACTCTGGTGTAGGGTGAACCCTGCTCTGCGGCAGAGATCGCTCTGGCTTTCGTCTGCCACTGATCCTTGACTAGAGCTGGCCCTCTGCAGACAATACTGCCTCCTGAGAGGCCTCCAGGACTATGTCTAGCTCTGGAGCTGAAACTAGAAGTGCTTCTGCAGCTTCCGGTAGCTCTGAACCTCATGCTGGATCTCTAGGACAGTGAGCAGGTTCAAGATCTAAAGTTTGTGGTAGATGATGCTGCCTCTCTAAAAGGGAGTCTGTGACGAAGGTGAATTTGGCGGCAGGGGTGGCAATCCAGCCACTTCCCATTCTGTCCAAAGAGACCTTGTTGCAGTTGGGGGTTGATACCTGAGCCAGCACAGCTCCACTGTCTCACTTGGCTAGCGAGCTGACTCTAAATTCAGAGTTAACAGGCAGCCTTGTGCTATGGCTAGCCTGGGCAATGAATGCTATTGCCTATATCTGGAGTTGATGTCAGAGCTGATTCTGGATTGGCTATACCTCTGTTGACGGTGCTCCAACAGTTGCTTCCTTCCATTTGTCATCTGGAGATGGCTCCACACCTGTTAGCATCTCAGGACCAATGCAAGACCCTTTCCTGGCATGGAATAGAGCCCAGTCACAAGTACTAGAGCCAATGATTTGGTAGGCACCTGAGTCTTCTTGGTCTTAGGACAGGAGTGGATTAAGAAGAAGCTTCACCTCTTGTTGCTCCTATCAGATCTGTTGGCAAAACAGTTCACCCTGATGGACCTGATCAATTCTTAACAGATCAAGTGAGCTTTCCTCTGATCTCTGCTGCTCAGAAATACCTCCAGGGCTCCCTCCCAAGACCACCATTGTAATCGTGTGACTAGGAAACACTTCTATTCCTGAGGTCTCAATTCCCCTGTGTTGGGGCCACAGTGAAGATGGGCCCCACACTCGTATCTACCGTAAGATTCAAGGCTGTGGCCATGCATACTAGTTCACCCCTCAAATCTAGTAATCGGAAGTTAGGGCCAGGAGGATCAGAAGTTCAAGTTATCTTCAACTACATAGCAAGTTTGAAGGTAACCTAGGCTGTATGAGACAGTGTATCAAAAGCCAGAAAGAAGGGAGAGAAGGAAGGAGAGAGGAAGGTGGGAAGGCAGGCAGGCAGGCAAAATAAGGATTCAAGAATTTAGGACCATCAGCCAGTGTGGCTGACCTGGCCCACCAGTCACCCCCACCATTCTGTCCATAGAGACCATGTTGCAGTTGGGGGTTGATACCTGAGCCAGCACAGCTCCACTGTCTCACTTGGCTAGGGAGCTGACTCTAAATTCAGAGTTAACAGGCAGCCTTGTGCTATGGCTAGCCTGGGCAATGAATGCTATTGCCTATATCTGGAGTTGATGTCAGAGCTGATTCTGGATTGGCTATACCTCTGTTGATGGTGCTCCAACAGTTGCTTCCTTCCATTTGTTATTTTGTTGCTTCCTTCCATTGTCCATTTGTTCTAAAAGAAGAGTGCTCACTGGTGTGTCCCCAGGCCCACAGTGCACCCCCACCAGCTGGGAACCCTCATCAGTTTCGGGACTTAGTAGACATGTGATATGTACTTGTGCGGGACACAACACAGATTGCAGAAAATTGCCTGAGTGTATTATGTGTCTTCAAGCACTGTCCTGAAGCAGAGGACAGTCAACCTTCAAGAAGTTGCTGTGCACCTCAGATCCACAGACAACCCCCAAGTGGGGCTAGTTAGAAGTATCTGGAATCCATGAACTCCCTGTAGCTCCTTCCTGACTCATCCCCAAAGCTTCCTTGTAAAAGAGGAAGCAACTGGTCACCTCCTTAGCTCCTAAATACTAGTCAATCAGAGCTGGCCCTTCCTCTTTACGTGGAATCTTTGGTATCACTAAGAACAGGGAGAGCAAGGCTGTCCACACCAAAAAAAACAGGAAGTTTCGTAAGAAGGCGCAGGACTTCATGAGTCATTTGGAAAGTCCTGTGAGCTTGGCAACACTCTAAACAAGTCTCTGAGGTCCACTAGGCCAGGCAGGATCTAGGATCAAGCAGTACAGAAGCCCATGAGCCTCTGAGGGACTGGGCTATTATGAGAAGCGCCGGCAAGGAGCGAAGGAGCCACTAGAGGGCGCTGCACTCGGATGGCAGCGAAAGTCCCTCGCGGGGTGCCGTAGTCGCTTCTATAAAGGACGTGGCGTGGATCTGCTCCGCCTCTCGGCGGCCTTGGCGGCTTGTAGGTTCCTATCGCCATTGTTTCCGTTGTTGGCCTGGGACGCCGTAAATGACCCTACATAGCCCTCGGCCAGCTTCCGGAAAGACTGCGTCTCGTACTGACGATCGTAACAAAGATGTATCGTGCTTTCCTTCTGAGGGTTTAGTCGCACTAACGTGTGCAGCAGGCTAGCCATGTGGTATGGGGAAGGGCAGTTCATGATGTGCCGGAGGGCCGGGTGAACGGCCCCCAGGAGTTCCGGGAAGGAAAGCCGAGGAAATCTGGGCTAGTACGACGCAGGAAGTTCCTGTAGTCATCACTGGGTGGGGCTCCAGACCGGTCTCCCCTTCCTAGGGCTAAGGAATACCAGGGAAAGTGTCTGTCTATATTTTCTGCATGCATTGATGTAGGAGATCATTCTTGAAAGGACAGCTATTCCAAACTATTCTGAATACCAACTTGAGATGACCCAGATCCTTGACTGTTTAGTGTAATGCCGCTGAGCTGGAAAGAAAGGAGGGAGAGGTGTACGTTTTTTACTGTTTTACTTGTAGAAAGCCTTAACAAAGACAACAAACTATATGGACCCATTGGAATAGGAATAAAATACAGGCCTAGTGCAGTACTCTGGTGTGATCTTGCCGAGATGTGTGCAGAATGATTGTTTTCTTCCTTTCCTTCCCTAGGGAATTTGCAGGAGAGTAAGCACCTGTGAGGACTTGTTGGGCTCTTGGGTAAGTTGACCAAAGTCACAAAGATTTGGATTAACAGTCTTGGTGTGATACTGGACACTTGGTTCATCAACGCCCTGCCCCTAGAGGCGTTGCAGGTGTGGCTGCTGTGTCACATATGTGTCAGTAGGTGGCAGAGAGGAGAGAGGCTATGTCTAAGCTCTGTTCTGACCTGTGAACATCTGAATGACTTGTAGCCAGACAGCACTCCCTAAAGCTGGAAGTGGGATTGTGCTTCCTTGTTGTTGATTGGCTTAGGTCATTTGATGGCTCTGCATACATAAACCCAATAGAGGGGCTGGTCTGTAAAGAGGAAGTTTCAGATGAATTGGTTTGTTGGAAATCATGAAATCAGTAACCTCCAGGAATCCTGGGGCGCGTGTTTCTCTTCTCACCAGCTTGGGTCAAGAGACTTTGAAAAAACAACAGTGGATGGAAGCAGTGATGGCGTCTGTCTTAGTCAGGGTTTTACTGCTATGAAACACCATTACCAAACAGCAAGTTGGGGAGGGAAGTGTTTATTCCGCTCGCACTTACACATTGCTGTCTATTGCCAAAGGAAGTCAAGGCAAAACCTGGAGGCAGCTGATGCAGAGGCCATGAAAGGGAGCTACTTATGTATGAGTGCTCTACGTGCACTGCACACCAGGAAAAGCCGTCAGAGCCTCTTCTAGAATTGAACTCAGCAGTCCGTGTTCTTAACCACTGAGCCATCACGCCAACCCCAAAAAGAGGTTAGGCTTTGAGATAGGGTTTTCTTATGACCTTGGCTGTCCTCTAATGCAAAGATCTGCTCTACCACCAGTCCAGGGATGGTACCATCCACAATGGGCTGGGTTATCCCCACTGCTCACTAATTAAGAAAATGCCTCACGGTTGGATCTCATGGAAGCATTTCCTAAGCAGAGTCTCATGATTCTAATACAGCTCAATGGTGCTCAGGCCTGAGTCTCCATCCCTGGCACCACAGACAAGTGGAACTGATAATGGGAAGAGAAGTGGTTCATCACGAAGCACCATGATTTCAGAATATGGGAGTATGGTGGGACAGCTAACAGTGATACCTTTAAAACACAAGGGTAAAGGGGCTCACTGCTGCTGTAGGCCTCCAGAGATCTGGGGGTGCAACACTTGTGGATTAGGAGGGTCTACATTGATTGTTTTCTTTGGTACAGGAAAGTTGATGACTAAACTCTGCTTATGAGGAATGCCCAGTTGAGGTAAGAGGTTGGCTGGACCCACTGGAGCATGCTCAGATGGGATGTGGGTGGCTGCCCTGAAGATGCTGTTCTAGATCAGCACCACAGGCATGGCTCAGCTGCTCAGCTGTGCCTGTGACACTGGGGCAAGGAGCAAGTGGCTAATTCTACGCTTAGTGTTCAGAAGCCAGTAAGCACTAAAAATGGTTTGTAGCCTGACATTTTGCAGAGCCATGGTGGTGTGGCACTGGGGTTTGGCTCTGATGCTGTTAGCCAAACCCCAATGTCAGACAACCTCAGGCCTCACCAAAGGGTTGCATTTTCACCAAATGGTCAGCACTTTCGGGAGATGGAACTTTGGAGGTGGAGGGGTAGAAACTAGGTTTTCTAGGAGACATTCTGAGGGGCTGGAAAAATACAAGAAACTATCCATCCTTTTCATCTTCCAGATTCAGAAACCAAGAAGGGGGCCTACTTGGACAAGATGGCTGTATCAGGATGGGTGCAGGTACGATTTTAGACCATGGGCCTGAGGTATGCCCTCTGACCTCACCAGGGTCCTACAGACCCACCCATACAGGCTTTGGGCAGCTCTAAATTTACCCTGGTGACTAGCCCGTGTCCTAAATTATCAACTGGATTGGGTTGGCTTGGGTTTGACTCTATTTCTAAGACTAGTGAAGCGAGATCTGTGGTAGTGGCACTAGGGATGGGGGACCCTCTAAGACTCAACATCAACATCTCTAACTGTACTGTACATGGCCTTAAAAGAGAATTATGAGTTGGGTGGTGATAGCTGATCCTTTGAGTTCAAGGCCAGCCTGGTCTGCAAAGCAAGTTCCAGGATAGCCAGAACTACTACAAGAAGAAACTCTGTCTTGAAAAACATTTTTAAAAGGAGAGAATGATACAGGAGGGGAAACTGGCTGGATGCTGTGACACAAATAAAAACTTGATTCTTGAAGCTGGAATCTTTCTTTGCTGTCAGCACTCTCTCCCCTTAGGGTAAATAGCCTGTTGACTTTCTTCTCATCTCTGGAAATAAAACATACCACAGTGGATGATAAGATTTGAGGTAAGATTTGGGCTGGAACTGTAGCTTTTAACAGAATCTAAGCTTTATACTGTGGACAAACATTTCCCCTAAGCTGATGCTTAGGAGGAAACTGGCCCTAAAGACAACACTAAAGAAGTACTGGTCTACTAAAGTGTCTGAAGCCCAGACTGGGGCTGCCATTGTGTGCCAAGGGGGATATTGCTCAGTTGTAGAGCATGATGCTGGTGCCAGAAATGCACAAGAGTCCACAGGTTTCATCCCTGGGAGAGTAGAATTTCCAAGAAACAAAGCTTGCCCTTCGTGTCCTCCATTGGTGCCCAAAGCTCTAAGACCCCACCCTTCCTGGCAGCTGTTTCATACCAAAGGATCCACATACCCAAGTGTCACATAAAAGCCATTTATTTACATATTCTGAGAAATGGCCCTGTGGGCCAGCCTCTGATGAGGGCTCCTGGCTCCTCTGCTGAGGTGTTGAAGTGGGTGAGGAGACTTATTGCAGAGGGTAGCCTATAGGGCTCCACCCACAGCAGAGCTGTAGTGGCTGGAGCCTGCAGTCTTAGGAGTAGTTGGTGTTGGAGATCTCCCTCCAGAGTAAGGTCTTAAGGTGGCTGAGCACCAGCGAATGGTGAGCCTCAACCTGGCTGGCCAGTCCACTCAGTGTGGTGCATGTGCGCAGCTGTTTGCCCAGCTCCTCATAGAGGTCTGCAGGAGCTCCGGGCAGCAGATAGTCCCTCAGTAGCTCACACACCTTGGCCAGGTTGGGCTGGATGAGATCACCCTTGCACTGCCTCATGAGCCTGTCACATGGTGCCCTGCAATCTCTCCCATAGATGCAGTCAGAGCTCTGCTCACAGTGGCGGCCCTGAAGGAAGCGACGCACTGTAGCCTCTGGTGCCACCTGCTGCAGGTCAGCCATCTTGAAGTCATAGGTGGCTGTGTACCCTACATTGGCAAGTGTAGTCTCACACATGTAGAAGGTGCCGTAGGAACCGTGGAAGAGCTCCTCCACAAATTCCAGCAGACCAATGGCAATCTTTGCACGCCAGGGCCATGCAGGTCCAAACCACTGCTGGAGAGCCCGGTGCAGCACAGATGGCAGAAGTGGGCGCAAGGCAGGAAGCAGCACTGCCCCATGCCAGGAGCCATGAGGGATGCCCTCGGTAAGGTAGAGGTCCCCGCAGTAGCCCAGCAGCCGGGAAGCATGTTCCTTCTCCTGAAGGGACAACAGCAGCAGGAACTCATTGCGCTGCAGCAGGGCCCACATGGACTTGGCTTCTGCCAGAGACACCCTGTTATCCTTGTTGAAGTCCGCCATGAGAAGTATCTGGTCAACCAGCGCTGGCAGGGAAGGCAGGTCTCCTAAGTTAGCCTGGCATTTGAGACCAAAAGGAAAGTGAAGCATGCCCTGGTGATGCATACCTCTCAGCTAGAAGAGCACTCTTGTCTGGCCTGGTCTCTGCACCAGTCTATGTCAGCAACATGTGCTGCCTGCACCATACTCCAACTCTCCTCCCAGCTGTGCACACAGGCCCCAGGACACAGCACTAGCTTTGAGCCCCGTTCCTATCTCCTTCCAGTCCCTACTTTAGCCACACTGAATTTGAGGCCTCACCATACTGTCAGTTTGTTCCCGCAAGCCCTGGTATGATGCTTCCTTGCCTGCCCCCTGCCCAGGTCTTTGTAGACATCCCCAGCTGTGGGCTACAATAATGGTCTGAGCACTAACCTTGAGGAAGCTGAGGGTCATCTCCCGGAATTCCTTGATGGAGGTTCCCCTGGTGGGCTTGTCAAACAGCACCAGCTCCCGCCTCGGGGCTGCATCTGGCCAGGCCTTGGAGTTCAGCACCTCCTCAATGCCACATTTGATGGTAACCTCTTTGTCCTGCCAGAGCCCACTGTACACCTAGATGAGGTCACGGGTATATCCCTTTAGATGCCCAGCTTACTGCCAGCAGCAACCCACAGCAGCCTGCCAACCATGCCCAGCTGCACACCTGCTGGCCTGGGGCTGATGACAAACAGGTCCTCCACTCCACCTTTTGCAGCTCACATAGATCTTGGCAGACAGAGCCGGAGATGATGCCCTTCCGGTACTGGTCACACTGAGGAGACAGGCACCACGGTATGGCTCAGAGCATGGGGCTTGGTAGCCACACCCTACCCACTTCCTGCAGATCCACAGCCAGCCTAGCCATGCTCCTTCAGGAACCCCCAGAAAGGAAAGAAAAGCAAGGGGGCGGGGAAGCACCTGCAGCATTCACATGAGGATGGGTATCCATGTCCGAAGCATAGAGGCTGCTGGAAATGAGCCTGTCTCCAAGAGCAACCCTTCTATCCCCTGGTCTCACTGAGTTGTTCCCTCAGACACTGCCACTAGAGTAAACAGGTGGCCAGGACCACAGGTCCCCCTATCAGGCTTCTCACTGTAGCCCCAGCTGGGCCCGCAGCAGCAGAGATGTGGTCAGAGTCAGATGAAAGCAACAAGTCCAATAGGGGCCCTGATCATGGCCAATAACTAAGCCTCAGGCATTACCCAGTGAGCAGCATCTTTGGGCGCTGAGGCCACCCATCCCTGGTCACCCGTCTAGGGAGGCTGTCCAAGCTCTGGACTCAGCATGTCTGGGAACTCCTGAGGCAGCTCAGGGCACTCCTCTGAGCAGGTGCCACATTCTCATCCAGCATTTTTCCATCCACTCTGATCTCTGTCCTGGATAAGCCTGCCCTGTTGGCTAAGGCAGAAGTAGCCCGATGGTAGGGCCAGGCCTTGATGTCTACCTCAGGGTCCATCTGGACTCACAGTCACCAACATAACAGGTGCTGTGAAGGACACCCAGTACCTCAAGTTGTCCAATCCTTCAGTTGCTGGTCACTGTCAGGCTTATTTGTCACCATCCCTAAAGAAATGGCATCCAGGGGCCCCACAACTGCTGGGCCTCCTGTCCTAGGCTATCTCATTAGCCAAAGGCTCAGGGAGAGCCTCTCATCAGATTAAATCAGCACTACCCAGCCCCTAGTCTCAGGGTAAAGAGCCTGGTGGCTCTCATTTGGGTAAATTCCTAGATATACATCACTGGTTGTCATGGAGCCTGGTATTACTCAGAGCCAGTCTTGGAGGAAAGGGGGTAAAGAAAGTACCCAATATCCACGCCCCCATCCAAGATGCTGAGCCAGTCTGAAGCACTGAGTCACCCATGTGACCCACAAAGACCTGTGTGTCCTATGGCCACATGAAACAGGCTCGTCAGATATAGATAGAAACAGAAAAGGCATGCCTGTCATCCCACCACCTGTGGGCAAGCCCTTCAGCTCTGGCCTCTGTGCTGAGACCCCATCAACACCAGTCACAGGACTTTGGGGGATGAGAGGGCTCTGGTGCCCTTGGCTCACAACAGATGGAGAGGCAGGAGCTTGCTGACCCTGCTCAGTGTTCCAAGGTGGCAGAAAGAACAGCAGAGTTCAAAGGTTCCACAGAAACCAAGGTAGGAGCTAGCAAGATGGCTCAGGAGGAAAACAAAAAACAAACAAAACTTGTCACGGAGTCTAATGGCCTCATTTCTAACCCCAGAATATCCATGCCTATGTATGTACGTGTACATACATACATACATACACACACACACACACACACACACACACACACACACAAGGAAACTGAGGTAGGTAGTATGTTCAGCTATCCACGGGACTCTTGTTGTTCCCAGGTCTCTAAGCCGCCTCAGTTTCCTCAACTGCAGAGTGGGCCAGAGTGGTTCCCACCTGCTTAGAGCCTGGCTAGCACCTGAGACTATAACCAAGGGGTAGAGAAGGATCTCTGGTTCCCATCACCAGTCACAAGGAGCCGAGATACCAGCTTCATGAGTCTCATGGGCACACTCACATGCACTCACAGGACATGCACACTCAGCAGCAATGATTACATGGAGAGGAGGGCACAACACACTCTACCTCACACCCTGCTTTTAGGACTGGCCAGGCAGAACTCTCCGGGCCATTCTAGTCTCCCTGAAATCCATGTTTCAACATTTAAGTCATTAAGTTACCTGCAGCAGCCAATTTCTCCATTTCCTTCCCTTGACCTCCCGTCCACGACTCCCCCACCTCCAAGCCACCTCCTGCCACATCTCTAAGGACTCACAGGGTCAGGACCCGGGACCCAGGCAGACTTACGATCACCACCTGGCAGACGTGCCCGCGGCAGAGCTCTGAGTAAGATGAGTAGTGGACATATACCATCCAGCTGCCCACGAAGATGCCCAGCCAGACCAGCAAGACGTACTTGACCCTGAGGCCTGGGAGCCGGCCCTGTGAAGGAAGGACTGGGTGAGGAGGTGCCCATCTGTGCACCCGCTGCACCCACAGCCAAGTGCAGCCTTTCAACCCAGCTAGCACCCACCTCCAGTACTGAGAAGCATCTAGCTCGGCACCCCATGTCAGGCACATGCCAGGGTCTGCAACCAGGGGCTCTCCATCAGGGATAGGTAGACGATTCAAAGTGAGACGCCTAAGCTGAATGGAGATACTTTTTACAGTCTGCTACCTTGAAATGCCCTCATGTCCTAACAGCCCTGCCTCCAAACAAGGCCAGCTGAGCCGCTGAGCCTTCAGTCTGAGGCTAGTTCAGCCACTCCAGGGATTGACCCTTTTTCCCACTGGTCCCCTTTGAGCCAGGACCAGCAGGAAAAGAAGAATGGAGGGCAAGGGCCCAACAACCCACCTCTGTTGCACCTTGGGAAGCAGTGAAAAGACATGGGTCATGCACCCACATTCTCAGCAGCAGTATCAACAGCAGCAAGGGTGAAGGCCAGAATCCATCCACAACATAGAGACACCACTCAGCCTCAGCGGGAAGTCTGGCACCTGCCACCACCGGGATGGCTGTCACAGAAGGATACCTCCTGTGAGACTCA